TTGAACTACAGTTGACATGTTCAAGGATTCTGTTCTTAAAACTGTACCATTCTTGGTTGGATCCTTGTGAGTACTTTTCAGTCCGAGAAACATCATAGATCAGACCAAGGCCACAGGGTTTGTTTAGACCATTGTTAAAAGTTAAGGAAATGTGTTAATCAGATTACATCTATACACTTTGTATTCTACAATTAGCAATCACTTGTATTTTTAAAATAGGATTTCCTTTGATATATTCGTGGCAAGGAACACAGGTTACGCGGCATCCATCTGTCAGAATATCGACTTGTATTTGTTCGCAATTGGTCAATTCCACCAAATTGCTGGCAGCCTTAACACCAGCATCGCTAACAGCTTCTATCTCGGTTGTTATGGGATTTTGGCTTGATCTTCTTCTAGCATCACCATCCATATTTAATGCCTGTAATCTGACTAGAATTTGGTTGATACCATCCTCACTTCTTGCAATAGGATTCTCTGATACGTCATCAATCTCTTGCGATCCTTGTTCGTAAAAAAAATCTGCTACCGTGGATTGTATTTTCCCTGCTGTGTTTTTATCCTTAGTTACCAATACATTTGGAAATATAACATTCGTATTCCAGTATAAGAAGTACTGGTCTGAGTGCTGTCAGCCTCATTCGCATATACCTCATGACCAGAAAAAATGGACGTGATCGTGGACGTGCATGACGATGACAGATCTGTATTGACTGTATTAACAGTCTCTTCATTTGCAATCTGCTCTTCCCTTTGTTGAATCTTTTTTTGTTTTAACAATGCTTCAGCCTTCACATGATTTATTGGCACAATGACTGACATATAATTTCCTTTCTCTCCACTATGTTTTCTTGCCCAATGCCTTTGTTTGTACGACTTGGATCCTCTTGTCAACTCTTGTGAACAAAGCAGACATATGTGTGGATCACATTGATCCTTTTTCACCTTCTTCTCCGGTGGAGCATTGGCATTCAGAGATGGTGATGGTCGTTTTCGTCTAAATATGGCACTCCACTTTTCCTAAATGAAGATATTTAGTATTTCATTAGAATAATCTTAGAATTCATTCTGAGAAATTTGAAAAATGATGAAAGGACAATGCTCACCTCAGCTGATTGTTGCGATTTTACATTGACAAGTTCGTTTGTCTCATCTTCCTCAATTTCAGAAGTCATTTTCAGAGCACGTTAAAAAACAGAAGAGGACCGAAATTGGTTTTAAAAAGCGTGGTTGCCTCTTGCTTTTTATATAGTTATTTATTGATAGCGTGATTACAAGTTGTCCGTTAGACAACCTAATCCCAAGTCCAAAAGTGCCAACCATGTGCTTATCATATCAAAATAAACCCACCAATAAAATAAATCTAACAGTAACTTAATACCACTTTCTACAGTGGTGACACGGACTTTATGAAATTATAGCCAGTGGCGACGCCAGCGGTCATGCAGGTCATGCAACAATGCATGACTAAAAGTTTTCCCAAAAATGTTTAAAATTGAACGTAAAATTGTTTGAAAAATAATTTCACATTAAGTTTTAAACATCTATACGCATATACTTTTTATTTTTTAGGCGAAATAATATTAATCTAAGGCTTGTTTCCAAACGTCGAACTTTACATGCACCGAACGCATTTCAGGCAAAGAAAAATGAGACAAATTCCTCATAATCTTTTGTTTTTAATGCATTCGACACTTGTAAAGTTTGTCGTTTGAAACGGGCCTAACACCACATTCTAACAACGCATTCATATTTCATAGCGCGTGGATCTTGTAATGAATACTATAAATACTGCTCTGTAAAATAATAAAATCACTTAAATCAGTTCGTTCATTTAAGTTCATTCATGTTATTCATGACGAATAACACGAACTCAACATGGGGACGCATGCTGACGCCTGATGCATTTGCTTTGCTATATTTTGATGAAAAAAGAGGATTTTTCAAAGTATGCGCCAACCACGGTCCGCGAACGATAATTTAATTGACAGTTCTGTGCAGCCGTGGGCGAAATTTGAGATATTCGCATCCAATTCAAACAGAAGTTATGCGTTGAGAAATGACATTTTTATAAACAGTAACTTCCGATATTTTAATTTAATAGCAACAAAGGCTTACAAAGCAAGATTCAGTCTCTTGCAATATCACACACTGTATCATCAATATTCCTTAAATTACTATTTTTCCTTTCAAAGATTTTGCGACGTACAACATGTTTGACACAACAAAACACTGAAAACAGCCTGTGTACACCGAGATTAGCGATACTTCGTATATTAAATTAATATTATTATGCTTTGATCGTCATATGCGCACCAGTGCACCAGTTATTTCATAGTGCGCAACGGAGATCTCGTCGAAAAACGACATACTTTCCAGCCTGGGCAGTACATTATATTCATTGCACACGTTGATAAGATTAATAACTCATTTTGGTCGTGTTAAAATTGGAAAATTGGAAAGAAAATTGGACAACTTTACATAATTAAACTTACCCTGTAGATTTTTCATTTCCTTGAACAGCGTCTATTCCTCTAGAATAGATCAAAATCATAAAGCGATCATTTTGTAAAGCAACATTCCTGAACACAGCAGTACATTATATTCATTGCACACATTGACATAGATTTCTTCATAAACATATATACATATAACTCAAGCAGAAGAACATGAACAAGCGATTGACACTAAAAAATAACTGTTTGCCACGTATGAAAAGTACAAATCATACATTGAGCAATTTGAAAGATACTATCGACAGCGTTCTTTGACATCTTGAATGAAAGATTACTACACTTAATGTTTTGTTGATAGCAAATGTAGAAACTGGTTGACAATGCATAAAAACATAGAGCAAATAGAATCCAAAAACATCAGCAATAACTACAATCATTACTTATGGATTTATACCTAAAGCCGTTTCGCAAGCTTTCTTTAGTTGTGAATGATGAGACTTTTTCGTTTCTTTATCGAGTAGAATTCTTTGTAAAGCACCAGATAGGAACACGTTCTTTGTTTTCACGTTTTTCTGCATGACTGAACGATTTAAAAAGTTCAAAAGGAATGAAAATAAAATCTTACTAAGGCATCTCTATGAATTACTATTCCACTGGAATTCCGCCATCTTTCTATATTCCATCCATTTAGTCACGTGACTATAAGGAAGTATCAGTGAACTCCATAACGTCATCATGATGTTTTACATACGGGAATTGTTGACAGTATATAACATTTTCTGTCTTTAAGGTCATATGTACATAATAAACGTACAAAAATGATCTCTCACATTTTTCAACTAATGACCATAAAACCCAAGGACATGACATGACATCATGATGGTGTTTTATAATTGTAAATTTTTAACATCATACAAAACTTGTTTCCACGATATTACCATGCGTAAGGTAAATTTTATTTACAGTTTTTGAAAGAATGTTCAAAGAAAGTCACTCTATAATTTAAAATAATCTTCATCTACAACAACACCATATAATCAAATGACTCACAATGAATGAGTTGTCGACATTGTTTCATTTCTATGTAGTGAACGTTTAACATATAATAAAAATAACCAAATTATCTGACCATACATTTGTATTAAAAAGTAAACCATTAATATATAGTTCGTTCAGAGATCTAAGGTTTCTCACTTTTGGTAATTTTCACATGTAAAACAAGCGACCATCCTTACGACAATCAACATCTTCGTGTGATATTCTCAATTTCATCACAACTTTGACAATGTTACAATGTTGAATTCTCCAAATATAAATTTGAAAGTTGATGGGAATCATAGGATGAAAAAGATCTTTACTTGACATTACAAAAAACTAATCTCTATCTTTGTCCGTGATGTCCATTTGCTAAAGTTAATAATCCAAGCAATGTTGAAAATGACTTCAGACCTATATCTGTCCTTCCTCAAATGGCTAAATTAATAGACAAACTTCAACTCCATTTGAATAAATCGGATTTCAAAATAAAGAGTAACCAACATGCCTTTACTCATGGCCGATCTACTGAATCTGCTCTAATATCTATGACACAAAATTGGTATACAAAATTGGTATACAAAATTGGTAAGGGAGTTCACGTATTATTTATAGACTGCCATTAAGGTGAATCACAATATATTACTACAAAAATTAGCATCTATGGAAATTAATAAGTCTTTCTGGCAATGGATTCGAAGTTTTTTGACAGGAAGAACGCAACAAGTCAACCTACAAGGAGCCATGTCATCCATCCAACCTTGCCTTTTGGGCTTTCCACAAGGCGCTGTCATATCACCAGTGCTCCTTAATGTATATATAAATGATTTAGACGACAATATTCCTAAAGAAATAGATGCTAATACATGTAAATATGCGGATGATTGCACTCAGAACCAGATTGTCGAAAGAGGTGAATGCAGTTCCATGCAAAAAGTAATCGACGAATTACGGAAATGGGCTGATAATAACAGAATGACTCTGAATTCGGAAAAAAAGAAGGATATGCGGATATGCTTTACGGACTCAATACAAGAACCACCACCCCCATATTTATTGGTGAAGAAGAAATAGAAAGAGTTACTAGTTTCAAATTTCTTGGCGTAACATGTCAAAATGATCTTAAATGGAATGAACATGTACATCAAATTACAAGCAAGGCAAATAAAAGACTATATCATCTTCGACTTTGTAGGAAGTCTCAATTACCTTCAGATGTTGGATTATTAAGATATACATCAAAAATAAGACCAGTATTAGAGTATGCATCGGCAGTCTGGGCAGGACTTCCACATTTTTTACAGCAAGAAATTGAACGTGTACAAAGAAGAAGTTTAAAAATTTTACAACTAGATAAAAACTACTTGCACTCTTTGAAAAGCAGACGTGAACTAGCAACTACCCAAGAGATCAAATGGATTATAGAGGTACCTGATCATCCATGCTAATTTTTAGTACCTTATCCTAAAGAAAATTCGCACGAGTTGCGTAAAAGCAAAACTTATAGTATTTTATCTCGGACCAAACGTCATAAACAATCTTTTATTGCTAGATCTTGTAAATATATATATAATAAAGTTAACATGTAATTCTTAGTATAGTATGGTAAATATATAGAAAATCAATGTAAATTCATCGTACTTTTTAATCTGAAGATGAATAATAAAAACCTTTAATCATAATCATTAATCAATCATTACTCATATTTTTACATAACTAAAAACAGACAGATTTTCCAAGGATATGGACAATTTTTTCTGCAATATTATTCAGTTCGTTGTTGATACCATAAATAACTGTCCTTTTGTGATATAAAGAACTTTTTATGTTCGTTTTAAGTGATATGTAATGTTAGTAAATACAATAGGTTAATATAGCTAAAAAAGGCTAAGTTAGTGGATTTATTCAGGAACATTAAGTTTACAAAACTGAATTCCGTATCCCTCACCGGACACAAAAGCTATTGTATCTGTGTTGGAATGCACAGTTATATCAAATATAGAACGTAATCCGTAAAATTCAGCACATATTTCACCACTCTTTAAATCTACAGCAAGCAATCCGTTATTACTAGTTGCTCCAATGCAATACGATTTGTGTACGATTTGAACGGACTTAGTAAAGCTTTCATCGACATAATGCAAAAATCGCATTCACATCACCTTTCTTATGCAAATTAATTACATAAATACCCATTTTTTCGTTGTAGTTGCCAAAGATTAGAATGACCAATTTTTTATTATCACTTGTAAAGCAGCCATTGACCTCGGGATCATTTATAGTTCTATATAAAACATATTTTTTTAAAAAAGAATTTATATATTTAATAAAAGACCTTATGGGTATTTTTGCAGTAAACCAAGGTTTCAAGTAAAGTTCATTGTTGTTAATTCCCCATTTCCATAATGTGCATTCTGTTTCATTTACAGTTAAAATAACAGAATTATCAGGTGATACAGCTGCTGTTTTAAATTTTGAACTATCAACAGAAAGTCTTTTGTTGTATTGTATCTCACCCTTTGTAATTCTAACAACTTGAACAAACTTTTCATCGTCAATACAAACTAGGACATCACCAAATGTTAAGATTTTCTTAGGTTCAAATCCAATGTTAACATGCTTTGCTTGAGTAGAATCTACAAAATTTTTAGACGAAGTGGATATCTTCGTAAGATGATCAGAACCATCCCATATCCACAGTAAACCATCTGACCACCAACATCCTAATGCATTCTTCAGTTGCATTGGTACAGTTTGAATAATAGTGCAACGTTCAATGCTCCAAATATGAATGTTGACGTGGTCACCAACAGAGAAAGCAGCAAAAATAGACCCATCCGGTGAAAAACAACAACATTGAACTTTAAATTTTTCAAAGATAAATGAAGGTCTCCAAAGATGATCAGTTTTGAAAATTTCAAGCTTGGAAAAATACGGCAAAACATAAAATTCCTTAAACGAGATTGGATGGACTTTGTTAAGAGTCCTATCAACACATGGACACCTAACATTTGGTAAACAAAACTCGATTTCTCTTTGATCGTTGTATTTTGTCAACTGAGTGATTTCATAAAGCTTTTCATTCTGGCTTGTATGATAAAAAATACAATCACGATAATGGTGTTTTATCATTAAATGTAAAGGTAGTGAATATTTCTTTTTACTTGAAAAATGATCGATTGCCTTTGGGAATCGAAAAACATACGAAGTCTCGCCGAATTCTGCAACAAAGAACTCTGAATATTTAACGGTGCATTGCAGGGTTGTTAGGCTCCAGCGCTCGTTTGTAGCCAAATATGGTTTGAAAAGTGGCCAAATGGCAACAAAAGAGGCCAAACTTGTTTTCTGAGCCCGCACTGTTTATGGCATGCGGTTTTAATAAGTTTTTCTAATTGCTTCTTATAGTCTATATGGATTTATCATAAATATATACCATACATTGCAAATCTAGCGATGCCAACGCCTAATGTTCACATCAAAGGACATATGGGAAGAGGTGAATACAGAACGTAAGACTGAAAATTTATTCGCTGTTGCAAAAATATAAGGTGCTTGTTGACGAAATGAAGAGAAAAATGAACTACACGTCCAAAATTTCTTGATAAGCATTACAAGCTTAAAAGGCCATGTCAAAAATACAAAGTGAATAAACTATTTTATCTGTCTTTCTATAAGATCTCGACGTGCATAGTTGTCATTTTTACTGCTCTCCATATATACAGATTTATATAAATATTTATGCATAGTTCTTATAATGTTTATTCTACTCACATTCATACATGTGTTTAGTGGCAAATTCGCTTAGTTACCTTAAAGTTGATGCAGCAGTTCCCGGCAAAGTGTAGGCTGGAACAAATACGAATAATGGCATTTAGCAGTTCTAAGCTCATCCTATTGCGTTGTTTGGTCTTCACTGATGTCACCAAGGAAAAGGTTCTTTCAACCACTGCATTGCTTACAGGATTTGTCAGCCAGCTTAAGGCGTAAGTTGCCAATTCCTTGAATGGTTTGACCCCAAGAGAAGTTTGGAACTGAACTATCTTTGACCAAAATGCAACTGCTGTATCAGGTATGATGCCGTTAAAAATTTGTTCCTCTTTCCAATTTCGGTGGACGATCTTCCTGTACTGCTCCTCAATTGCATAATCTTGATCCTTTCGTAGATTAGGAAGCGGCAGTTGCTCAAAATCGGCTCTCGTTGTTACATCAAGAACTTTCCTTGGATGCAGGGCGCTTAAACCTTTAAAGATATTCCGGACAGCTGGTAAACGTTTCTTTACTTGATTTACAGCTTCCACAAGAAATTCTAGACACCTATTTTTCACTTCAGAAACTTCAGCTTCAGCACGTCGTTTGTCTTGTTGGGAAGAAATGTATTTCTATGCTTCTGACAAGAACTTTCCACCAAAGTCAACTTCATAAATGGCTAGATGTTTTCCTTGGTGGTCGAAAACTCTACCATATAAACTTTTATGGTGTACATTTAGTTCCGTGAACATTTCTTCTGGATCACCATCAGTTGCCTGGAAGAAGGCATTCACCCTGTCGAATTCTGTGACCAGAGGAGAAACGAAATGGAAATAAAGATATAGGACTGGATCATTGAGCATGTCCAGAAGAATACGAGCCTTGAATCTTGCTGCCTGCGTCGTCTCTGGTTGTGCTGTTCGGAAGTAAGCTTGCAGCTCAAACCAATTTGTGAGAATGCGAAATATAACTTTTCCTCTCACAAGCCACCTCGTAGTTGAGTACTTCTCAAACGGTACATCTTGCACATCGTCTGGATTCATCACTTCGTAGAGCGTCTTGTATGCTTCTCTTCTAATAGCGCTCTTTGAAAACCATTTCGGAATTTCTGCCAGAAGAAATCCTACACTCGACGGAAGTTTCTCAAATGCATGCTGAACACAAAGGGACAACGAATGGCAAATACACGTCATCTTGATGCAATGAGGAGCGACAGCAGCTATTCTTGTCCACAGCGAATTATCACTGTCAAATGAAACATAACTGTAATCACTGTCCTCGTGCCACCTGTCATTACTGTCATCACTGTCATCACTGTCCTCGTGCCACCTGTCATTACTGTCATCACTGTCATCACTGTCCTCGTGCCACCTGTCATTACTGTCATCACTGTCATCACTATCCTCGTGCCACCTGTCATTACTGTCATCACTGTCAGCAATGAAGAAATTACTCTTCAACTCATGTGCTAAATACTTGCCCAGATCGTATTTGTTCTTTCTATCATGAGGTTGAGTTTCTATTTCTACAGGATTCATGTCTTTCAATTCTGTTTGAATAGGAAGTTCTGGACGACTGGTGATGAAGATCTTAATCCATTTAGGCAGTCGGTCAAATTCTTTTGCAATCAATTTCAATAATTCACTTTTGCCGTCAACTTGACTTTCATCTAAGGCATCAATAACCAAAAGCATTGGTTCATGATCTTCCAATGAATGCAATGGATTATTTAATAAAACAATGAATTCATCGGTGATTGATTCTTTGGAATGGTTTCTCTGTAAATCTTCATTCAGTTTATTTTTAAAATTTGGTATTGTATCACACATGCTACTAGCCAATGATTCTATCAATTTTCGAGGATTTCTGTAATCTGATATATTATATCTGCAGAAATGAGAAGCAGCAAGTTTCTTCTTTTCAGAATATCGTCGACACAACTCAGCAGCAAACACACTTTTACCAACGCCTGGACCGGCAATCAAAACCATGACATTAGAAGCATCTTCACTTCTATCGTTAAGCCAAGTGTCGAGTTTTTCAAATAACCATTGTCTAGTGCCTTTAAGGTATTTCTTGTTAAGATCTTTTATAAGACCGTTAAAATTACACTTTCCAAGCTTTTCGACAACTGAATATGTTTTGTCCTGTAACATTTTTTTTACTCCTGCTACATCAGCTTTTGTTTTCTTTACATCTTCATTTATGTTCGCAACTTTTGTTGCCATCTCTACAACATATCTATTCATTACTTTCACATCTTCTTTGATTTTTTCAGTGACATCGATTAACTGCTCGTCTGCTTTATACCATTCTTTTAACATTTCAATATAATTTGCCTCATCGGAACTAAGGGGAGCTTTCTTTAATTCATCTATTTCAGTTTGTTTAATACCCAGACCAACCAATGCTTTTAAGACTTCTTGCCACCAGTACTCAAACTCACTGTCATCTACACTAATTGTAGTTATGTGACCATACACTTTGTTTCGATAAAACTTTATTCTTGCAATATTTGCTGAGATTGAAGAATCTGAAGAGGAAGGAAGATTATCCCATCCACCATGTGGCGCTGTTAGACCACATATGTTACGCAATAAGACAGTCAGCAATGAAATATCAAAGTTTTCAAGGTTTGGCAAACCAGTTGATGGATAAAGAAGGTCCCATTGCTCTTTGTTGATGACGCTTCTTTTTCTTAATGACTCCAATGTACTTTTATTTGAGGTTTTATTAAGTTCATCGCTTAGGTTTGACGAACGAAAATTTATATTAAAGTGCAATGTTGTTTTCAAAGCTTGTGTTCCTTTATTTATCAAGAGTTTACTTAAACGAGATCCGTTCGCCTCAATCTTCAATTTATTAGGAGGTAAATCCATTTTTCAAACTAAAAATTAAGAACGAGTTTTTGCAAAATGCATCAATTTACAATGTGCGAATTAACACAACATTAAAGGGATTAATAAAAAACATAATTACAAGAAATTTTATAAATAGTCCTCCTCATTTATAACTTTTGTCTAAAAAAATTGGTAAAAAAATACGATGTCATCTACAATTTATTGTTCGAAATAATCATGTTATGACAAACATGATATTTCTTCAATTACTTCAACCTACACACTTGTTTCACTTATTTAAAACTTATCAAAAACTTCTAAAAATATTCTGGAACTGTATTTAAGGATTGTGACGTTTTTCAATCATTTTTTCACAGCAATATTTTAAGACTATTTGTGGTTGTTACCAGTGGCGTAGCCTGGAAAAATAGTAACCCCAGCTCATCACCTCACGCCGAACGCGCGACCCCACTATGCTTCTCAGGAAAATTTTGAAATCCAGAGCCTTGGAAACAGCATTTTCTGCGACTTCGGGGGCGAATTATTTGTTAAACTATAATTTATAAAAACTCCTTTTTATTAGCTGCATTTTTAATGTGGCAATAGTCGAAACTGCCACTAGTAAAAAGGTGCTAAAGGTGGCTCAGAGAAAAGTTACGCAGGAGACAATTGTCCCCTGAATAAAAAGAAGAAATTTGGATTAGCACAAAAAATAACATAGTATACGACACTTCCTAAAATGCATAGAGAGAGATTTTTCTTGGCATTTCTCTTGTTAGTCTACACTTGTTTCGAATGAGGGATGGAAAACAGGGACGGCTTTACTCTTTAAAGCTATGCTTAATTTTCTCAACGAAGTACCATGCATTATGAAAACAAATATCAAAACACATACTATACTAATCATTTATAAAGAAGGGCCAGCCTTTTGGGTTTTTCTAAAAAATTTTCAACAACCTCATCATGCAACAGCTCTGATTCCTCTTTTTGTTCGATCATATCTTTGTGAATAGACATTCTACAGAAAGAGCTAAGCTGACCTTTACCCATTCTATTCCTCAAATAGCTTTTGACCCTTTTCAAGCAAGGAAACGACCTCTCTACTGAAGCACTTGCCACTGCTAAGACTATTGGGATATAGACGTATTATTAGAGTAATATGATACCGGAAATTCATATCTATAATGATGATACATGATTGGATAATTGATCATGGACTTTAGCACTAACACTTATATATATATTAAGTTCTTTGTCTTGTTGACATTCTATATCTTTTAGTATTCTTATTCTGTTCTATTGCACTGCACGTTGTATTTGGTTATGTTATATTAAAATGGTTACTTAAACATTATAATTCTAATAGGTTATGGGCCCAGGACGCAAACTGTCCTACTAAAGATAAGTAATGTCATTAAGTAAGGTAAGTAAGATAAGCAATGTCATTTTCGGATAGCGCTCTTAAGTTCGCAAAATTGAATGGCACGAACTACCGGTCATGGGCTTTCAACATGCGGTTATATTTGGAAAGCATGGACTTGTTTGAATTCGTCGAAGGTAGTGCGATTGCTCCTAACGACGATGCCGGTGCAGATATTCGAAGGAGATTCAATTCCTCAGCGAAAAAGGCATGGACGTATATTTGCTTGGCTATCGAGCCGGATCAGCAAGTGCACGTGAGAGAAACGATAACGGCAAAGGAAGCATGGGACGCTTTGAAAAGTCAATTTGCCAGGGAATCGTTACTTCAAAAGGTTCGTCTTCGCCAGCAATATTATTCGTCAAAATTTCATGTTGGAGGGAATATGCTAGAGCATATAAACAACTTAAAATCATTACACGAGCAACTAAAAGAAATGGGTGCAAGTATCGATGATAAGGAACTGGCAATGACCCTGTTGGCTAGTTTGCCAGATAAATATAAGCCATTAATAACGGCATTGGATGCTGTTGGTGAGAATGAACTTTCTTATGAGAAAGTGAAAAACATGATACTAAATGATGAAGACAGAGTCAAAGATTCCGAGACCAGAACAGAGGATGCATTTTTCATACAACGTAACAAGTTTCGAGGTGGGAAACAACGTGGTGGTCAGAATGAGAACATTTCTAATCGAAAGAAAGGCTTTCGTGGCAAGTGTTTCATTTGTGACGAGAAAGGGCATCTAGCAAAAGACTGTCCGCAGAAGAAGACGAAGCAGTTTCCAAACAGTGGCAACTCTTCAATCAACAAGGGAAACAAGTCTGCTCAGCTTGCAGAAAACGAAGAAAATAGCGAGATCGATAATGGTGATGCGTTGATTTCAAATTCATCAAACATTACAAGGAATTCAGATTGGATTATCGACTCCGGTGCAACGCAGCACATGACTTACGAGTTGGAAGGCTTATGCAATTACGTAGAATTTAAGCAACCGTGTGAAGTAAACCTTGGAGATAACCGCTCTATTTTAGCGTATGGCAAAGGAACTTATAAGGTAAAAGCTATTCTTGGCGACGGAAACAAAAACATCTCTTTGCAGGATGTATTGTATTCACCTGACATAAATAGAAATTTATTATCTGTTCGAGCGATGGTAAGACTGTTATTATCTGTTCGAGCGATGGTAAGACTGCGATTGTTACTTTCGAAAACGATGTTTGTAACATTCGACGAAATTCAAAACTGTTAGCAGTGGGAGAACTACAAGGAAAACTGTACATTTTGAAAATTGTCGAGCATTATATGAATGTTGCAAAAGAACAAGGCTTTGATTCAGATTTGAATTTATGGCATTGCAGATTGGGACATCTTGGAATAAACAATGTAATGAAACTCGTCGAGAATGATATGGTCGATGGAATTGGCAATGTAACATGTGAAAATCAGTTTTGTGAAGCTTGTGTGTTGGGAAAACAGCATCGATACTCTTTTCCAAAAGACGTTTCACAAGGAGCTAAGGAACCGTTCGAAATTATACATAGTGATGTATGTGGACCGATACAAGAGAATTCCATTGGTGGATCTTGATATTATGTCTCCTTTATCGATGACTACACCAGATATGTACAAGTATACTTTTTGAAGAACAAGAACGAAGTTTTGGAAAAGTTTAAAGAGTTTTTCAACTATGCAAAGAATATCTCTGGTAAGCAAGTTAAGATTATACGCACAGACAACGGTGGTGAGTATCAATCAAAAGAATTTGAGTCGTTTTTAAAGGACAATGGCATCACACATCAAACAACTGTTCCGTATAACCCAGAGCAAAACGGAGTTGCAGAACGGATGAATCGTACGATAATGGAATCAGCAAGAAGTATGTTGATGCACTAACGTCTACCCAATAAATTCGGGGCTGAAGCTGTAAATACAGCAACTTATCTTTGAAATAGAAGTCCAACAATTGCTTTGGACGGTATAACTCCTTATCAGTGTCTATTTGGGATAAAACCTGATGTAAGTAATCTGAAAGTGTTTGGCTGCATAACATATATGCACATTCCTAAAGAGCAAAGGAAAAAGTTGGATGCAAAATCTCTCAAGACGATTTTCATGGGTTATCCTGATGGGACGAAAGGGTTTAAGGTATTTGATCCAATGTCAAAAAAGTTTTATAAAAGTCGTGACGTTATGTTTCTAGAGCAGCAATTTTATAACTTTGAAAACAAACAGCGTGAGCAAAAACTCATTGAAAATGAAGAAAATCGTAATGTGCATGATGTTCCTGTAAATAGCAATGATGAAAGCCAATCAATAGAAGATCGAAACGCTGAACATGAAAACGGTAAAGTTGATGCAAGAGAAGTAGATGATTGCAATCGAGTGGGAGAAAATTCTTATGAACAGAGATTCATGAATGAGGTTAGACAACTCAAAGGTGAAAGGATACGAAGAGCACCTCAAAGATTCGACGAAGAATGTTACACAGTCAGCGACTTAACTGCAGACATCAGTGAACCCAACAATATAAAAGAAGCAAAAACTGGAGAACATGCGAATGAATGGAAGAACGCAATGATCTCAGAATACAATTCGTTGAAAGATAATCATACTTGGGATTTAGTACCTTTACCAGAAAACAAAAACGTAATCGGGAGTAAATGGGTTTACAAAGTAAAAAGAAAAGCTGATGGTTCAATTGAACGATTTAAGGCAAGATTAGTTGCTCAAGGTTATGCTCAATCATATGGAGTAGATTACGAAGATGTGTTTGCTCCAGTAGCAAGATATAATACCATAAGATCCTTATTGGCTGTGGCAACCATGTGTGATTGGGAAATACATCAAACAGATGTAAAAACTGCATTTCTTCAATTCTTCAAGGAGAATTAGAGGAAGAAATCTATTTACGGCAGCCTGATGGTTTTGTTGACAAAGATCATCCTGAATATGTTTGCAAGCTTAATAAAAGTATATATGGGTTAAAGCAAGCTGCAAGGTGCTGGAATACCTCTATCGATAAACACTTGCTTTCAAATGGGTACAAGAAAAGTTCAGCAGATCCTTGCGTATATGTCAAATCCGTAAAGTCCAAAAATGGTAAGATTAACTTTGTCATAATCGCAATATATGTTGACGACATGCTCCATTTCTCCAATTCTATTGAGATGTTGGAAAAAGAAAAGTCAGGAATTGCAAATAGATTCTATGTTGAAGATCTTGGTGAGATTCATTATGTCCTAGGGATGAGTATAAAACGAAATCGAAGATTGCGAACATTAACCATTAATCAGGAGAATTATCTACAAGGAATACTGAAAAGATTCGACATGCAAAATTGTAAAGCAGTCTCAACACCACTTGAATTTGGAAAGAAGTATGAAGTGTTAAGTGAAGGTGAGAATCCAGTTAATGTGAAGCAATATCAAATGGCAATTGGATGCTTAAACTATGCTACATTGATAAGTCGACCCGATTTAGCTGTTGCAGTTGGAACTTTATCAAAGTTTATGGCAAAACCAGGATTAGAGCATTGGAGAGGAGTGAAAAGGATCCTACGTTACATTCAAGGTACATTGGATTATGGTGTACAATTTACCACAGATGGCAATGATCCAATATTGT